ACAATTTCTAGCCTGGGTGCCAGACACTGGCGTTGGTATCTTTAAATTTTTTATTTTCTATTTTCTATTTTCTATTTTTTCTAATTTTTTTAATTTTTTTAATTTTTTAATTTTTAATTTTTCTTTAATTTTTAATTTTATTTTCTTTATTTTTTTTTATTTTTTTTATTTTTTTCAATTCTTAATTTTTATTTTTAATTTTTTAATTTTTATTTTTTTTCTTAATTTTCTATTTTCTATTTTTTTTGGGGGGGGGGGACTGTAATGTCCGGTACCAAGAATATCCGCCCAAACCCTTCATCTTCCACGCCGGTAGCGAGGAAATAATTCTTTATTCTCCTAAATTCAAACAGTGGTCAGCAGTACATAAAATTGCGCTGAATTGTGCTGCCCTTACACGCACATAAAAAACACAACGTAGGAACGAACAGAATATACAGATTCACGACAATTACAATATGTACAACACGTAAAACTAAGTCTGCATTTGACTGTCGTAGAGTCTGATTGTGTGGTGCAGAAATAAACTCTGTTCTTGCCATGGGAACCCTGAGTCCTCCCGCAGACGTCCCCGTGCTCATCAGCCACTCCACCAAGTAATGGAGGGGATGGTCTGGTTTCAACATGGTTTTGAGTAGCTTCACTGCTGACAATTAGAGCCAGGGTGCCAACTCGGGGTTAGCGGGGCGTATGGCTTCTCTGGCCGAAAGAATTATCACTCATTCGCGGTACTAAGGGTCTGGAACCCAGGCAAGGCAATTTCTAACCTCCTGTGCAGGCTCCGGGGCGGGCGGAAACTTTGATATCAGCCGCCGAGAGAAAGTTCCATTCCGCCTTCTCTCGGCGGCTGGTTGTAGGATGGCAGGCTATTAAAATAGCGCGTTAAAAACTCTTCAAAACGCTGTATCAAAATTTTCGCCCGCCCCAAAGCCTGCACAGAAGGCTAGGCAATTTTGATCCGGCGGGAGTTTTTTCTGACAGACCGCCGGTGCAAACTCAGCGCACGGCGGCCCCACGATGATAGATTGAGGCGTCAAATTCGCTGAATCCGTCCGGTTGTAATATTGCCGACAGGCCGGCTTCTCCGGAAGAACGAATATTAGCGCGGCCTTGAATCATTCATCATAACTGCCGCAGGAGTTCTCACCGCGATGAACTTGGTATTAACATTAATAAAAACTCCAGCAAAAGTATAATCTAAATTTATATACATATATGTATTCCACGTGCCTTTCTCTCTCGCCGTTGAATTTTTGCTTTCGCCCTTCGTCTGACTAAAGAGGTTATAGTGGTCTAGACTCTCCGTTCGTTGAATATTTTGTTTGAATATTTGAACAGTTAGCGATATCGATTATTTGTTACTAGTCTAAGGCCACAGAAAGTAAATTTCATGGCTGACATCCTCTGCAGACTCCAAATATAATGCGATAGGCCGAAAAAAAGGATTCCTACATTTTTAAATTTGGACATCATAAACCTTGTTTAAAAACGGTACCTACGTATACGTATGTTGTGCTAAGTTTTTTTTGCCAACGACGTTGCGGGCAACGATTACAACATCCATTTGTCACTGAAAAGAATATCATTGTACAAATGGTTTTGATTCAGTAGGAGCATCACATATAACAGGAATGAAATACATCACTGCATAGAAGTAAAACACAAAACAATGAATCAGAGAGTTGCCTTGTCTCCTCTATTCATATTTTCTACCATCCACGTTCCCGCATGACAAAACACACCTTTGCCCATTTTCGACATGTTTTTTTTTTAAATTAAAACAGCAAAAACTTAAATGCAATACAAGATGGCGTCGAACTCAAGTTCCATGGAACATATATTAACGGCGAAATGATTAAACAAAGCTATGATGATTGCATGGACAAATAGATAAATATACAGAATTGAAACAAAGTAAAGCTCATAATTTTACAATTAGTCTCAAAACCGCAAAATGATGATCCGTAAAGACATATTGACCAATGTCAGAGGGCAAATTTTTTTGTTTTTTTTTCTTCAAATCAGGTGAAAATTAATGCGCTGCGGCATAATCTGCCGTCCAATTCCCGAAGGGGAAGTCTCGTCTCTCTATCACTGAACACAAAACAGCGGCTGCCGAAATACTAATTGAGTCCATATCTGGAGCTGTCCAAACATCCTAGCGTAGAGCCCCTAGGGTCTAATAAGCCTGCACGCCCACGTGCATATTAGCCATGTTATTTAGTGGAAAATTATATACTGGAGTCCTGGAGACTGCATTACTGGAGTGCGATGTCTGTGTCTTTTTACAAGTGATTTTTTCATTAAACATACATATTTCTTATGTTTCCAAATGTTTCAAAAAGAGAGAAGAAAGGGCAACTAACAGTAATTGATAGGTAGTTTATAGTATTATTGTAATGTATAGATTCCTAGCACTTTGCATTAGAATATAGCGTACCAGTATGAAATACTCATGTTTTACATACTGGATTATCCTCTTGTGCATTTAGCCCATCTGGGCAAGAACATGCAATAAAGATTCATATCATTGATCAGTTATTGCTATTTGAATTTATATGTTCTGAGTTTAATTGTTTGATCATTAGTTTCCTTTCTCATTTCAGTTATCTTTTAACTCAAATTCGCTGTAATCAGGTGAGCGCAATCGTCATTATATCCTTTTAATATTTAATCATTATTTTATTGTTTACGTAAAATTTTTATTAACATTTATCATGTATAGAACCGGTTTGGAAAGGAAACTTTAGCTTATTGTAGGAAACAATGGTGCAAAAAAATTAATGTGTAAATAAAAATGTGGTCCCGAAAAACTTTTCCGCATACCTACCTGCAGGTCACGCTCGAAATTTTATTTATTTTATTTCATTTCTGTATTCTTTTACCAGGGTGGCACTACTCAGTGTCATAGCACTGCTTTTCAGAGTGGCCCTGGGTACGACACATATATACACGGAAATCCAACAATATTTACACCAAAAACAAATCATAATCGTGATCCATTACTCGTAATCGGGGTCATGCCAGGTCGTAATAAGGGAGGGAAGTCAGAGGTCACTTTGAGCATACAGTGTTCTGAATGTCTGTATCGACGGTGCAGTTCTAACACCGGGTGGGAGTTTATTCCAGCCCACTGCACCTCGATAAATTACTTGCATCAGACAATTTTTACCTGCACTACAGTGTGCCTTCCTGCTCATAGCAAACTTAAAATGTTTGACATTAAAGAATGTTCTTAGTATCATCATTAATCTTTAACCTCACTCAGGTCTATGCTGTATTCAATGATGCTATGATAAAAATGAAAGGCAGTTTTTGACCACCGCTGGTCATATGCCACTAGTGTCTGGGGCTAGTTTTTTTTTAATGGATCAGTGCAGGTTAGGTAAAGTTAGACATCAGAAATACTTGTGCAGCTCCAATTTTACCTGCACTAACCTGCATATACCCAGTACATGGACCAGTGCAGGTTAGGTGCAGGTAGACATCAGAAATACCTGCACAGCTCCAATCTTACCTGCACTAACCTGCATATACAGGTGGTATTTCGAGTACTAATTGCTAGATCGTCAAAATAGTTGGTAGATTACTATGGCCCTTCCAAATCTACATCTAGGCCAACCTTCTTACGGCCTAACAAATCTTTCGAAAAATAATAAAATTCCGATGCAATGTTGACCTAACAACCGATCGCCAAAAACCGTATAAAGTCTTGATTTCAGGCAGGAGCAGTACATTCTGCTGACTTTGCATGTCGGCAAAACGCACTGCACCTGCGCGAAACCCGTAATGTGTTGTGCATATTACTGCGACAGAACGTCTCAGATAAGGTCTTTTTCACGTATATAAGGTTACCACCTTGAAGCTTTGAAATGTTATGTCGGAAAAATATCGTTTGCAACAGGCAAAATTCTGATGCAACGTTGACCAAAAATCCAACGAAAATCGTGAACAAATGGGGGTTTTGCGCAGGCGCAGTACGTTCTGCCAACGTGCTTGCTGACGTGCTGTCTTCCGTGGAGAAGAGCACGTCGGCAGAACGTACTGGGCCTGCGCAGAACCCCTATTTTCGTTTTTCGTTGGGTTTTTGGTCAACGTTGCATCAGAATTTTGCCTGCCAGTTGCATAGGATATTCTTTCCGACATAACATTTGGATACTACTGTCGAAATGCTAACCTTATATGAGCGAATACAACCTTATATGAGATGTTCTGCCAAAGTGCTATGTACAATACATTACGGGTTTCGCGCAGGTGCAGTACGTTCTGCTAACGTGGAGAAGCAACATGCAATTCATCACGTGACCCCTGCAACTCTTCCGTAACTTCGAGGCTTCCACTGACAGTTTTAGGTCACTCTGTCTCCAGAGTGATGCGAGCCGTAATTCGGCAAGGACGGACGGTTCCTGGAAGGCATGGTTACTTCTACGAACGCAATCATTAGACCGGTCTGCTTTCAAGCCTTGCGGTGTGTCATAAATATCTTCTGACTAATGACGATACTTCGAATCGCAAAGAAGGGACACCTTGGTTAGGTAGCTTTCCTATCTAAATGATAATGCTGTACCTTAGTACATGTCGTCGG